ATTCGGGAGAGGGCACCATATATCTTTGACGCCTTAGGTGTCACGTATTCCGCATGCAAATTGAAGTTAGCTCTGTCGTCGAATATAACGCCAAGATATCTAAGTTGTGCGGATTTGATTGCGTAACCATTTCACAGCAGGGTAGGTTCATGCATATGCGTGTGTGTATGGGTACTCAAACACCGCCTAACTAACTGCAAATGCATACATTGACTGGCAATAATAAACAAATGCAATAATCAATTAACAGCTGGATTCGCAGTACGGTAATATATTTGCAACCACAATTGCATTCTACTAAATAGGTATTCAACCTGCAAACCCAGTGGTCGAGCTGATTTAGTGGCCAAAGCATTCGCCACCAAGCGTTCATTGTAGCAAGCATCCTTTTAACGTGCGTTCAGTCAAACCAACACCAACGCCAAGGCCAACGCGAAGGTTTTATGTTGCCTTTGCAGGATAGAAAAAATTTCGACTAAAACAAGTATTTTTCAATTTTTAAGAAATGCTTTCTTATTCTAACTTGCTTAAATTAAAATCAATCTGTATTTATTCCTTTCAAAAACTAATATTAATTCTATTCAAGCATAAATATGCGTTTAACTTCATTTTTCAATAAAATTTTAGGGACGTAAAAAACATCGATGTATTGAGCGACATCGATGGTCATGGCTGCAAACATCGATGTTTATCGAATGCTTAGCGTCATCACCCAATTTGCCAGACGACTTCGTATCAACTCGCCGAAAACTTGCCATCGCACAGAGGTCGGATTCATTAGAGCAGAGCTGGGCGATAAGTATTATGATTACTGATCGATTAGGATTTTAGTAATCCCAACAAGCTAAAAAAAACAAGATTACGACTACAGTAATCCTACATCGAAGGAACTTAAATTACGGTTACAGTGATCATAATTTTAAGAAAGTTAAAATTACGATTATTTTAATCGTAATCCAAGATGCCTTCTATGAACGATTACGGCAATCCTAGGTTAGTAATTTTTGAAATTGCGATTAAATTAATCGTAATCCTAGATGCAATCGATTACAGATGTAATCCTTATCGCCCAGCTCCGCATTAAACTAGCGGGACAAAATGTAAAGATCAAATGCATGCGAATTGCGTCAAAATGAAATGGCTTACTTACCAATACAATAGATAACTGTGATTCATATTTTGTTCTTTGATCTTTGTTCTTTGATAAAAAAAATACTATGCTTATAAGTTGGCTAGTCGATGTAAGTCAGATGTAGCAGGAAAACAGTTTTTTTTGTACGATTTCGATTATAGCTATTGCAAAAAGTTTTTTTTCATGAAGAGAAGTAATAGAAAAATTATTTCATAAATTCTTAAATGTATTAAATAGTTTTTTTTTTTATAGCTCTGTAAGTTCAGAGCGAAAAGTTGAACTTGAAATTATTTTAATTGCATTTGCAAAAAAAAAAACTAATTAGTTTCCCTGAGTTCCGACCTGAAATTTATAAAAACTAATTCTGGGAAGTGTTGCTTTTAAGGTAAAATATACGCTTTTTGCGCGCTTTTACCGCACCCACACAACTGTTTTCATTTCTCAGAATGGTTTCCCAAATATCGCGGCAACAACCCCAAGAAGCTGCGAGTAACCCCATTTGAATTTCAAAAATTCGTGGTCAGATTCATAATTGGGTTAAAAGCCCTTTATAACTAATGTAGGAAATGCATTGAGGTTGAGGGAGAATATATAGAAAAATACAATTTTTATATATTTCTATCAGCTATTTTAATACCTTGGGCTCAAAACTTTTTAGCCTCCCCTCGTAGATGAAATAAGGACTCAAAGTGAGATGTGCCCTTTTTGTGTAAAACAACTTAATAGAAGGAACAGCCCTCCTCTATGTCTACTTAAAATATTGGTTTGATATCTTTTTAAACCGACCTCGTGACATAAAAATATGCAAAGCTCTAAATGTTTCCTTTTTGCATAGAACAGCATTTATATGAGCGAACGCAATTAGAAGTAAAAGAATGGGCAGACGGCAACGTTGATCCAGATCAACTCGCCAATTTTGAATTATCTCGGGAATTAACTGCAGTTGAGCCGGATTAAGTCCTAGACTTAATTCTCAAAAGTAACTCGGAGCAACACTGACCAAAACTCAGAGAGCGTAGAGCCAACTACTTCATCTGCGGTAGCCGAGTGGTGAGGGCTGCGTTCTACAAGTCTGCAGGTTCCAGGTTCGATCCTGGTTTGGAGCGATTGTAAAAGAAATTTTGTTTTTATTGTTACTTAAATTTTTGCAATTTTATTTGGATATATATATATATTCAATTTTACTTTGTTTTATTTTCGTTTGTTTTATTTAGTTTCACATTATTTATTTTATTATTAGTTAATTTAAATGTTTAGAGTTGAATTTTACTTAAAAGTCAAAAGTAGCTAACTTAAAACAACATTAAAAAATATAAAGTTATAATTGAATGCATAACAAAATGAAATAAATATTCTACTGGCCGTGGGACTCGAACCTACGACCTCGCGGCTCGTTAATCCGCATTACGATCGCCTATCAAGGCACAGTTTTGATTAGATCAATTGTGCCCTTAATCCGGATCAACATTGCCCGTGTGTCCATGCTTTAATATACGAAAATAGCGGGAATTTGTTTAGTCAGTGCACTAACAAAAATATTGGTTTGTTCTTTGCTTTGACTTGACTTTTCTCTTCTAGCGTTGTTGTTGTTGAATTATGTACTTTGTTGTAATACACTGTGTGATTTGTAATGTATTCAAATGTTTTTTTTTTTATATATATTATACGTCTTTGAATTGACGTTGGCACTTTTGCTTTAATTTTGGCAGTATCGTTAATCAGAATAATAAATTTGCACAGCAAAGGAGATCGCTTGACCAGGGCTCGAATCGTATCATCCGTTCAGGGATCGAAAACCATACGAAAGAAAATTACGATATACCGTCAGTCGTATAAGCTGAATGCGATAAAGAGTACGCTCACGTATGTAATGATCCAAAAACGGCGTTTTTGCGTGACGACTAATACGATATCGTATGTGACGATTCGAGCCCAGATGTGCGATATAAGGAACATTTTAATCCTTATTATTTCCTTTAGTTATATACATATATGTGGTGTGTTCAGTCAATTTAAAGTTGGCACAAAAGACTCAATTTTAATCTTAACTAATTATTAAAGTCTAGGATCCGTACAAAAGTTTTAATCTGCATCTTGAAATTGTATTAGTGGCAGTGAGCCTGAACATTTGTTTAATTCGATATATTGAGTGTAACTGCTCTACCCATACTGGCCTGCTACTGACCAATTTGTGTGCAATTATCACATTTTGGTCATTGTGGTTCCATCGCGTTTGGGTATTTCAGTTGAACCTCTCCACCTTTAGAATATAAATGTGTATGCGGGCAGTGAAACCAATGGTTGTCAGCTACAAATGCTTTGCAAAATAATCGTTCATAATCGTTTTTAAACATTCAAATGGTAAAGTGTTATTTTCCTAGTTTCGCGTGTGAAAAATTTTAAGCGTTTAAAATGCATTTAAGCAGCTTTAATGATAATTTATAGGCGATTCTAATTGCAATGAGCTACAGTAGCATCGATCATCACCATTTGATATATGTATGTATGCACCACAGAATATATATGTACAAAATGTAAGTACCTTTATATATGCAGATACATATGTACATATGTACATATATATGGTAATTGCTATTCCCAAGTTTATGAGTATTTATGAGTTGTGAGCTTTTATTGCAACAATGCTCAATGCAACATTCGCACACACACACATACCCATCGAATATTCAATACCGATACCACCAATTTTCAGTTAATAGTTGGTGCGAAAAGAGAAGAGGTGTTTTAGTTGTTAAATTCGGCTTTTGTCTTCGCTTCTGTCGGCTCTTAGCAATTGGAGTTGCTGGCATTTCTTAGCGCACGTTTGGCCAAGTGCAATGCGATATTGCAAGGCAACAACAACTAAATGCAGAGAGCCAGTGAGACAAACAGGCAGTCAGTCAATCACGTTTTTGGTCGGTTGATTGTTTGTTGAGCTAAGTCTTGACTTTTGGCCATAACTTGAGGCAAATTACTGTACTTTATGGCTGCAACGTGTAAGAAATATTAAATGAAAAGTGGAAAAATAAGTGAAAACCATAATACATAAATACATGAGTGCGCATAAAATATTTATGGAGCCACATGTTTTCAAGCACATCGCATCCGTATATATTATGTGTGTGTGTGTGTGTGTAATTGCTACCCAAGCGGACTTATAACGCAGTTGTTTTTCCACTCAGAAGTAGTTGCAAAAACATAAAATCCTTAGTTCGCTTTTAAACAAGCGTGCAGACTAGTAGGAACGTTCTTTCAGAAGGCAATTTCACATTCGGTGGGTTTTGTTGGTTTGGACTCCTTCGTCCTCATTTGCCGAAGTCAAAGCATTACAAAATTCCGATTCCAGCAGCGAAACCTTCACGATTTACTTATTTTAGGCTTCCAAAATAATGAAAAAGGAATGCTATTAATTTTCTAGGCTGATATTTTCTAATCTATGTACTTATCAAACAGAAATTTAAATTGCATTCTCGAAGAGATTACTGCAGCAGAAGGCACTATTTTCCGAACCACATTCTGCATGGTCCGACTGGGTGCTTAATGCCCGTCTCTCGCATACGCATTCACGCACATTCATACATACAAACATGCCGCGGAGCCTTTGCTGGCGAATTGCATGCGAAATGAATTCGATATGGCCGCGTGTCAAGAGTTCACAAATCTATTAGATTTGATAATTCAATTAAGCTCAATATGACTACCGTCATTGTGTGTTTGTATAGTCAGCTATTTAATACATCAGAAGGTTAATAATATATGCATGCGTGGTTTCTGAATTTCAGCATTTTATATATCATTCACTTGTTCAAAAATATTTCTAATCTATTTTTCATTAATATTTTGGTTTTATTTTATTTTTTTGTTTCAGAAATTGCGCGAGTACGTGCTTCACTATTTCAAATTAATGGCGTCAAAAAGGAACCACTCACGCTGCCAGAACCTGAAGGCGCCCCCGTACAGTTAAATGAGAAAGTCTATGTCCCAGTGCGAGAACATCCAGATGTAAGTTTTTAAAAATTTTTCAATATTTTATTTTCATAGGAGCTAAAATGCTAAGTGCTAAAGACTATGCAATACGGTTGTACCGAAATCAAAACAAATAGAATAATAAGTAGAAGGGGATTGCGAAATAATGTAGGGTCAAGTTGGCAACGTTTTGTCATCTAATACTGTGTTTACACAAGACGATTTTACATGGCGATTAGTTGAATCATAAGTTGAATGCCACCTAACTTCATTGACAACGATTAGTTGAAAGTCCATTCACACCAGGCGTTGCTTTCAACTAAAAGTTTCCTGTAAAATTGCCTCATATAAAGGAAATTAAAGAAGGTCATTATGACAGTAAGAGTTGTCAATCAATCGATGTCCTGCATCGATAGCATACATGTAATAAAATGTAGAAACTGACTAAAACGTAAAAACGCTTTTTCAACAGCCTGCCAGATATATTCTAGGTGAAGAAATATAGTTTGAAATGTCAAAAAGATAGGCCTAAACACAAGCGTTTTTGTTTCTGTTGTGAACACTAATATCTTATGGGCCTAAGATCGGAGCTAATTGAAGAAATACTTTCTTTTTATTTAGAAGGCTCTTGTATGCTAATCGTTCAAATCTCATCGGTTCCACAGCTCCCGGCGGTCCAATTTACAATGGCTTGAAAGGGCAGCGGTCGATTGCGACTTATAAGAAAAAGCTTAGCGGTATTCGACCACACTATTTTGATAGCCAATTCCATGGCCTCCCACCGCTTATGCGGCATGTCCATTGTGGCGTTCTTGCTAGAACCGCTTGTCGTTTGTGTCCTTATCGTTAAATTTAGGCCATATGAAATTATTTATCATACATGTCCCCTCCAATGGCCTTTTCAAAAAATTACGGACCACTGACTCCATCAGATCAAAAATTTTTTTGGTGATCGCCCCGTCCTTATGAGATGATTTTCCGGCCAAAGTAGTGATTATGTTCCAAACGGCGTTCTCAATGATCATTAACTTTGTGCTCCTGGGCCAGTGTACTACTCTATAAAGCCCAGGTCCCCAAGTTTAACTATGCGAAGGGCTGAGTTCTTGTACACGTGGGGTATGCTAACTTTCACGGACAGGAGCTGTCCTCTTGTCCGATCTGAAGTTGCTTGGACATACTTGTCTACCGAACCGATGGTCTCGAATTTGGCCACACAATGTTGGAGAGTCGACTTTAGAGGGGCTCCGTGGCCACCTTAAATCGAACGCTGCTGTCGCAACGTGTGTACTAACTAATATTTATAACGAAGTTTTAGCATTGGACCTGCTGGGCCATCGTATCATGGCTATCACGGTGATTTGGCATCAGTGACTAAAAAATTGTTTATACAGACGCTAGATAGACGTGCAGCATGCCCGCCTCAGACTGCCGACGTCGACTAGTTCCAGTTAAGAAAAATATTAAAAAGTTGCAAGCTTTTGTCAAGCTCGCACTGCTGCGGAATAAACTGTACGTTCTAAGCATTTACATTTCTACTAATATCTAAGAAGATTTGGTGACACGTTTTTCTTGGATTGAGTTTCGTGAACCAAGGAAAGATGAGGCTTATTAGCTAGATAGCACAAATATATTTCAAAATATGTAACATTCATCTTCCTCTATTTCTACGTTAACGATACTCAAGCGTAGAATTGATAATCAACTCTGTGAAAACAATACAGCTCTCGTCAAGAACTTAACAAACTAGACACTGAAATAAATCTTACATAAATTAGAAACTGACTAATCGAATGATTAATTACTAATTATCGCCATTCCTACGAAATAAAAGAGCTAATATGCATAGTATTTACATATGTACTCATACACAGGCATAAATACCTATACGTGCATATGTTCCTATGAGTACGTAAGAACATTTTAATCTGAATAGGTAGTGAAGCGTGAAATCTGAACATTTGTTTTATGAAATGAAACCTGGCAGAGTCGTTTCCGCTAATTAAAAAGAAGTAGCAAGAAAACTATTCCAGTTGCTTGTGTTGTATTTTGGCCAACTAAATCACCCACTAGCGATATGAACGGGCAAATAGACATCGAGGCAACGTTCTGCTTCATTCGCTCGTTCATCGTAGGTTTGCTTATTCGCTGTCGTTGCGTCGGGCTATTACGTGTACATCAGTGTTGCCAGAACTTTTTGGACCGACCGGCTAAATTGGCAAAAGGAAAAAAAAACGGATAAAAACGGCAAAAATGTTTCAGCAAAAATTAACATGTTTTATTTGAATAAAGTTGAAAGGCAAATAAATTCATTTAATCATTTTTGGTTAAGAAAGGAAACTGTCGTTATACTTGATTAATAGCGTGGGCCGAAAATCCGCTTTTTTTAGTTTTGATTGGCACTCGGGTTTCTTTTTTCCCTTCGGGAGAGTGCTTAGGCAGGAGACTTTGAAAGCAGCATTACAGGCATTTTTTTGTTCAAATAGTATTGTGTTTTTATTTATGAACGGTTTTACCGTTCCATAAGCGAAAAAAATAAATTTTTTGTTGAATACACTTAGTTTCATTTGTCCCCCGAAAAATACCGCTTTTTCTTTCTCAGTTGTACTCCAAGTCCCCCAATTTGTTTTTATACCCGGGCGCACTTTTGCACATAAATGATCAGAATGAAAAGAGAAGTCGATTAAGCCATGTCTGTCTGTCCGTCGATACACGATAACTCGAGCGAAAACTGAGATATATCAACGAAATTTGGTATGTTGGTTGCCCTTTATCCAGGGTAGGTTGGTATTGAAAATGCGCGAAATCGGACTGTAACCACGTCCACTTTTTATATAACGGTATTTTCGAAAAATGCAAAAACTGCGATATTTCAGTAAATATTGGATACAAATTGTTGAAAATTAGTATGTGGAGTAGAATTATGGTAAAAAATAATAATGTTATGAAATTTTTGGAAAATTGGCCTAACCTCTCCCACTTATGATGAGTTGCTGTATATCAGTAGCCGCTTCACCAATGCTTACCAAACTCGGTGAGGGGTTTGGGTAGGGCCTAGCTAAGAAATATGTTGAAAAACTTTGAAATCGGGCAATAACCACGCCCACCTGCCATATAACGGTAATTTACAGAAACACGAAAACTGCGTTAAATCAGTAACTACTGGAGCTAATTCACTTAAAGTCGATGAATGCCTTAACCACTTAGCAGAAGATTAGAATATTATACATTTTTGGATAATGGGCGTGGCGCCGCCCACTTATGACCACAAATGTGTATCTCGGTAACCGATTTATAATTTTCCACCAAATTATACCATTAAGTCTAACTCTGCATATTATCGAAAACGTTTGAAATCAGGAAAAGACCCATACTTATCATGCAAAGGTAGTTCAGAGAAAGTTGGAGCGACAATATTTGATACCTGCGCCGGGTTTTGCCCGAACTTATACTTCTTTACTTGTTAAATTCTAGTTTAATTAGACGCGAATTTGAACTAGGGAGGACTTACTGCTGATTTTGGCATTTAATGACGGTGTTCGAATTTTTTGCCAAAGTATGTACAAGTTTTTGCCAAAAATCAGCAGTAAGTTCATAAATTTTCTCAAAGTATGAAGTTTGGATTTAAATGGTATTTTTTAAGCAATCAGCTACATTTTCATAAAAACGAAGAAACATTAAGGTAACTAAAGAAAAATACCCAAAACTTGATAAAATGTCGCGTCCCAGTTTAAATTTTGATCACTGTACCCGTATATGGGCTTAAAATAAAAATTACTGAAATCAGCCTAGTGTTTGAAGACTTTTTGGTTTAGAAAAAAACGTCTTTCAATTGTATATATGTAACACAGTTCAACATGAAAAATTTCTCCGAGATAAGGCTACCCATTTCTAATAGATTTTGGGTCGCTAAATTTGTAAAAATGGAAACTTATATACGTATATAAATTTTAAGAAAATATTGCAAATAGCAAAATCGGCTAAAAACGGCTAATTGCTAATAATTTTTAGCAAAGCGGCTAACAATTCGGCTGCCGGCTAAACCGAATTTTCTCCGGCAACCTTCTAAATCTAGCCGTAAAACGGCTAAAATGGCAACACTGATGTACATATGTATATATGTATGTTGCCTAACTGCTGGCTGCGTTAGTGCGTCGAATAAGTTTCTAGTGCACCGGAAATCTATTAGAGGTGCGCCCCCGGTTTGCCTTTTTACTACATACACCACCGCACCTCTTGTTGTCGCTGTTGTAAACGTATTTGCTACTCTTGTTGTTGTTTTTAATGCTTTATGGCGCCTTCCACACTTCAGTGGCGCTACTGCTATCGCTCCAAGACGCGCAGCTCCAATGGCACTGCCAATTATGCAATGTGTTCATGTAATGGCTGTTTCTCTGATCTTTTAGATAGGGAATCGGATACGTGGGGAAGTGGGCCGAGTCATGAAAGCAAGCGCCGGTATATGAAGTCCATTTGAAATGAGGTCTCCGGCTGCTGAATTTCTTAAAGATTAGCAAAATATAATATTTTATGGCGTTCAATTTCCTTCGTGACTACTTTTTGTCTTGTATGCTTTCTGACAATAAAATAAAGCTTTAAAAAAATGTCCGATTAACATCTGCTTTGCACAAATCGCTTTTTTTTAGTGGTTTTCAAAACATAAATATTCACATTTAAATGTGATAATTAAACTTCGTCGCAGTGTGTGGTGGCCAAGCGTTGGGGTGACTGGGGTGTCGTGTGCATATAATTGTGCCACACGCAATACTATTTCTTTATTATGTTTACTCGTTAGTTTTTATACCTTGCAGATGTCAATTCAAATATTTAAATACATATTTACATACATATGCATGTAGATAGAATGCTAATATATTTTTGTATCTGAAATATTAAGTTTAATTAAGTTCTTAGAAGTAATTGGTTGCTACTAGTAACAGTTGCGGAACATCATTGATTTTCGCATCATTCCTTTCTCTTTCGACTATGCGCTAGTAAGTTTAAAGTTGCTTGCATATTTATGTAGATGTATGATAAGT